TTATTCTTCTACTGAAGAACAGAATTCTGTGATCAGAAATTTATTCTTGTACTAACTAAGCAGATGCTTTATCACTGATCTATGGCCCTTTCCCAAACCACCAGAACCCTATAGTTATATTAAAATATATTTTTTCTCATCACTTTCCAATAAATTCTGTATACATTATATATGGTCTTATAATCCCATAATGTTTTCCTCATTCTGCTACCTCATTTCATTGGGAGAAGATCCAGTTTCTGAGAAATTAACAACATAACCCACCCTGTTAACTCAGACACAAACTCTGTTTAGACTTGACAGCTGGATAATCTGTATAAAATTGCAGGCTAAATCCTAATTCTTGACATAGCATGAAGATCTTTCACTGCAGGAGCACAGAAATCTGTCTGCATGTGGAAATCCATGTAGGAAAAAAAATTCCTCCTGGCATGAAAACTGGAGTTGTACATTCCATTAATCTGGAGAACAGCTCATGTCCTAATTGATATGGGTGTGTAATAAGAGAGAGAAATTGCTCTGGGTTCAGAGGGATGGTTCAGAGATAATCCTTGAAGCACAAGAAACTTGGGGCTGAAAAAGGAAACATGAAACTGACAGAAAGACTATCTTGGAAAAAATGGAGTGAAGAAAGTATATAATTTAGGGAGTCTTCCAATGTAAAAAAGGGAGAAAAGAGCTATGGAAGAAAGAAAAGAAGAGGTCGCAGGAAAAAAAATGGCTTCCTTGCATGGACTTTAATGATCTGCTACTGGAATGCATATATTTATCTTGCCTCGTTTTGCTAGGACCTGCTCTTCCTTTTTATGACTCTAATTCAGTGTCTGGGTTTCCATACGTCTTCTTAGAGGTACAGCCCATTGCCTTTATGGGCGCATTTTACTGAGCATCCATAGACTTCACACAATTAACTTAGAAGGGCTTGAAGTAGTACAAAGAAACATATGCCCTCATCATCAACTCAAAGCAGCTTTTTTTGCTTGTTTGTTTTTGGTTTCTCAGTATATTGGGGAGGGAGAAAGAAGGGGCAACTGTCAGAATGAAAATCCTTGCCAACAGAAAGAACTTTTGTTTTACTCTTTCTGACTTGGGGTATGTTACTTTGTTTTAAAAGGTATAGGATGTGTGAGCAGAAAACTGTTAGGTAAAAATGGAAGAGAGACAAATAAATCACTATTCTTCCTTGTAATTCCAAGAGGATTTTAATGTGAAAAAAAAGAATGATAAAATATAATACAGGGCTAGAACATTCTAATAACAAGCATGGTAAAAATGCTTTCAAAATGTTTTGTTGTTCAGTCACTAAGTTGTGTCCTACTCTTCACTACCCCATGGATCATAGCATACCAGCCCCCCCCCCGTCCTCCACTTTCTCCTTGAGTCTACTCATATTCATGCTTATTGTGTTGATGACACTATCCAACCATCTCATCCTCCACCTTCCCATTCTCCTTTTGCCTTCAATCTTTCCCAACATCAGGATCTTTTCCAACGAGTCCTCTCTTCTCATTTGATGGCCAAAGTATTTGAGCTTCAGCTTCAAAAGTGCCCCCCTTGAAATCAATACAGTTTACTTTCGAGTAGTAAAATTACATTGCATCTCTCTTTCCAATGAGCATTTCATCACATTTTACCTATGCTATGTCTAGGATGCTTCTCTGTAATTTAATAGACCAGCCCCTCTTTTCTTTAAGCTGTCAGTTCTCAAGTCTACCTTGAGAAGCAAGAAGCAAGTAGCTTAAATTACTAGGAAATACAAACCCAAGAGTCACATAGGCCACCAGGTCCTACCTCTTGCTCAGCACAGGAATGCAAATTAAGATATTCTAAAAAAATCTCTCTACCCTGCAACATTGTTTTCACAGTTTTCAACAGAAGGCCTCAGTCTTTAATCAGAAGAAGATTGCCTCTGAGCATATATATTTTAGGTGTATACTCATGACCTCCTCATATCATTAAGGGTGCAGCCTCAGCTCATTTTTCATGCACACCTAAGCTCAAGCACCTCTATTTAGAATCTGTGCTATCTTTCATTCCTTTATGACTCTAATATCCACTGAGAAAAACAAATACTTATTTTTTTTTCATTGTTGTTTTTTAAGTGAATCCAATAAATAAATGTGTATTCCCCCCCTTCATTATTTGTTTTCGTTCTGTGCAGAGTTTTATTGCAACAAGAACAAGCTACAGAACCAATTTTAATAATGAACTGAACACAGGGAGATCTTTGGTTTTCTGTCCTTAACTACTACACTACCACTTCTGGTTCTTTGGTGTTATTATTCCCAACCACCTGTTTCTCTCCCTCTTTGATAGATGCAGAAATCCTGATCAACCTTCTCTACCAGAAGCACACTACAATATGAGATATAATATAGCCATTCCAATCTCATTTCCTTCAATGAAAAATGAAAGTGATGCTTTTGGGAATAATTCACTTGAGGGAAAGTTCTCCTGCCACTGAAATAGGCTGAAGTAATACAACCTATAAAGACTTTTTAGAAAGTTGCTGAAATGCAAATAAAGCTCTATTTCAATATGGGGAACAGTCATTTGTACATGAGTATCATACTCAAATTATTTCTTTACCAAACATACTCTGAAGGGAAAAAAAGAGACAATAATTATAAGACGTAACAGGGGAGAAAAATGGAATGAAAAATTGAGTCTGGGCTATAAAAATAAGTAAGTTTGCTACTTGCAGAAGGCTTATTACATTAATTAAACATTATTACGGGGAATAAGCTGGAGAGGGCGTTCAGTCTGAATCTTTTATATTGCTGGAGGCTGCAGTTATTCTGTGATATTAATCTTCTAAAGCATTTTAAATGTTAAAGAGGAAAACACTGGAAATAGGAAATAGTTTCTCCAACTGCACTTCTACAGAGACCCTAACTTTGGGACAACCTAAAACACACATTAGAGGCCCAGACAGCAGTCTCAATTTGTTTCTAAACATAACAGTTCAACAAAAAATGTGGCCATGGAAACTTTAAATAGAACTTAGGGCCAAAGCCAACACGTGTATCAGCTTAGCAAAATCAGGGCTACTCTGAAATGGAAACAAAACCTACCCCCTTTCCTGCCTTACTACCACTGTCACCCTCTTTGCTACTTTAATTACTTTTCCCGGGTCTGGCTTCCATTCTGAAAATAGAGAAAAGAAGAATTCCATTCCCACTTCAAAGCCAAACCTGAGCTTATCTGGCTCAGTTCTTTAGGAAGAGTGTAAACTTCTGTGCAAAATGTTGATAAAAAATCTTGTTCTAGTGGTTAAGGCACCAGGCTTAATGTTGATAAAAAATCTTGTTCTAGTGGTTAAGGCACCAGGCTAGAAAGGGGGATCCCATGGGCCGCACAAACAAGTGAAGCCCCATTGGCAGGATGCAGGCAGCACATGAAACCATGCCCCCTCCAGGCCACGGAAAAATCTTTCTCCATAGAACCGGTCCCTGGTGCCCAAAAGGTTGGGGGCCTCTGATTTACAGAATTACAAAATATAAAATTGTTTGGAAGCTAGCATTACAAACAAAGGCTGATGCTTAACCACCTAAAAGACAAATTAATTAGCGGCACTCAATTTGTATTGGGCCACTTTTTCATCTTTTCTGTTCTGCTCGGCAGGAAACACTATCCTTCAATTCTAGAGCCTTATAAATCAGTAAATCTAGTTGTTACCACCAACATATAGCTTACCAGGGAGAATGAGTGGTTACAAAACACTTCTCTATTAGTCCAGACCCACTAATGGGGGATGGGGGATGGGAATCAATTGGATTTATTGAATATGCATGATCCTTGGGTACAGATGTAGTGATCAGGACTAATGCCTTAGCAATAAAATCAAATTGTGTGAAATATTTCCCTCAAACAGCAGGACCACTTCTAGTAAATCCTCAGATTTGTGGTATATGAAATTTTAATGCCTGTTCATGGAAATTAGGCAAACATTTCTTTGAAGCTAACAAATGTCTCCTCTTCTTTCTATGTCCAATGGGGAGAAGGAAAAGATAAATCCTGGAGACTGTTGAACGAGATGAAGAATGAACAAACAGACTTTTAACTAGCGGACAAACTTAGATCCTCCACACTGCACAAGGACTCATATTGGGAAGGCTTTATTGTGTTCACACAGTCTTTAAAAGACAGTCCTTTGTCTGACAACACAAGTCTTCAATGCAAATATCAGGGGCTTACAGAGGCCCAGGCAAGTTGTATCCTCAAGGGAAAATTGACAATGTGCATAGCAGAACAGCAAACGATCTCCTTAGTTCCACACTGAAGGAGGATTCACATGCAAGGGAATGCACAGAAAGCAGAAGCCAAAACAAGCATCCACACTATTCAAAGTGAGACTTTGATGTTCAAATCAATACCAACTCACCCAGATAAAAACAAACGCACTATTCCATTTTCTTAGCACATAAGAACCTGCAGATAAACTGAATGCACAGGGCCCATGGACAGTTAACACATGATTTCAATTTCCTCTCTGATGTGCAAGTATCCCTCCTGCAACAAGTGCTTGACTTGAATCATCGTTTCACAACGTTCACAAATGAGAGATGGTACGCTACAGTTATAAGGGCTAAGGACTAAGAACAGGGAGACACAAATTCAGATTCCTGTTCTCATTCCATAACTTTGGACCAATTGTTATAGGGCAGTGGTGAAGACATAATAATAGGTGGTATGTATATGTAATGAAAACATATATTAAGAGAATCATACCACATATTGATTTACACCATATACCTATGAATTCATATCTGTTTAAAAGCAGATAGGACTTTTTTTTTACATATCTCTTAGATTGATTTTATTGAAGCAACATAAAAATACTTGGAATTGAAAAATAATTTTACAGCATTATGCCAAAAGGCAATTTCACAGACTTCGTAATGTATTCTATAATTCTTCAGAGATAATTTAAATACTTATTTTCCTAAGTTCACAGTTCATGGATATTTTTTCTTTTAAAATGATATGAATTGACTTACCTGGGTAGACACCGATGCCTGGCTCTAAGTGGCTAGTCCAGGTATTTCTAGAATGAAAAGCCCATGTAAATCCCGTAGACATGTCATGTGTCCAACCACAAAAATCTTCGGGAAGATCAAAGTTGCAATTAAATCCTGTTGGGACCTGGAAATCTTGTAAGAAAACAGTACAACATAAAAATAAGATCAAAGCTATTTAATAGCTAACATAGTTGGCAAATCATAAATGGTTATAGAAATATAAAGTCTTTGCAATGTGTGCAAGCATACAAATAGACTAAGGGTTCAGATAAATCTGAAATAAAATTTTGGAATTAATTATAAAGAATCCTTCCTATGTAAAAATGTTCTTGTTTTGAATTTACTTTCAGAAAATATAATAAGGCAAGACTTTAAAAATTGGACACTGGAGGAAACTAAAAATTGCAACTAAATGAGAAAAATACTTAAATTTGACTTACAATTACAGATGAAGCAAAGCATTTTAACATTGGAGATGTTTAAGGATATTTTTGAACAATGGACCCAGAAGTTAATTTTAGTAGTGTCTGTTTCTATAGAAAGATTGCATCTAATGGAATGTAATGGACTCCTGGGGGGGGGCACGCTCCACCGGCAGCCAGATACCCTCATACCAGGATGGCTGGCGGGCAGGGAGGATCACCTAAAAAATTGATGGGAAATGGAGGCAGGAGACAAAGAGGGGTTAAAATGGTGAGTGCGAGGTAGGAAGGGAGAGAATAAAGGGTGACTGAAGAGGAGAAGGGGAGGAGGTGAAGGAGGAGGAAGGAGAATAAAGGGGAGCAGGATGATAGCAGAGGGGGAAGAAAAGAGGAGCTGAAAGCAGTGGAAGAATAGCCACTGAGCCAAGTATGTTTGTGTGTGTGTGTGTGTGTGTGTGTGTGTGAGAGAGAGAGAGAGAGAGAGAGAGAGAGAGAGTGAGTGAGTGAGTGAGAGAGAGAGAGAGAGAGAGAGAGAGAGAGAGAGAGAATGGTTTAGGAAAATGTGAGCAAGATTGAGAAAAGGAGAGGGTGAGGCAGAAGAGATCTACCCACTGATCCTGTGGCCACCATCCCCACGTGGCAAGGGTTACCTGGCGAAATAGAGGTGAGCAAGGCAAGGGCAGCGGAGCTAGACAAACAAGTGTGTAACAGAGCCAGGTGTGGAGTTGAAAACAGTGGAGCCAGACAAGACAGCACGCAATGGAGCCAGGCGAGTGGGACAATAGGCGAGCGGAGCCAAAGCCAGACGAGCCAGACGAGCTGGAGGTGCAACGGAGTCAGATGAGCGGGACGGCAGGCAAACCAAGTGGGACCAGATGATTTTGAGGATGATGGAGGCGAGCTGAGCAAGTGGGGCTCGCGGGAGACCGACCGGAAGTGGGCAATTGGCCAGGGCAAGAGACAGTGATAGAGACATTGTGGTGCCAGGCAAAAGACACGAGGCAAAGGATGGGACTAAGAGTGGGGAAGAGTCAAATTGCCTGGAAAAGGGCACAGAGGGACCCTTTTGGGGGCAGTTCTAAAAGTGGGGACTCATCCGGGATCGCTCTAGCTTTTTCTCAAAGGAGGAGTGATCACACCCAGAGACATGAACCAAATAAGTAAAATGGACTCCACTACCATTTCTATTAGTTCAGTAGGCTATTTCAATGTAGTGACTGATATTTCAAGGGATACTTGGACAGAGAAGGATATTCTACAAGAGGTAGGGCTCTATCCCCAGACCAGAGGGTATTTATTGTGGATATGGTGGAGGATTGGACACCTCTCCCTCCTACCATTATTGGAGTGGAAGAGAAGGATCTCAGCTTGCTTTGAGGCTTCCAGTTAAACGAGGACATAAGGGTGCGGGTGCAGCCAGTGAATGAGGGAGTAGGGACAAGGCCAATTCCTTAACTGGGACATCTGCCCCGAAGGAGAAAGCACACATCCCTATCACATCACAGACAGAGCTTATCAAGGCTATGGAAGACCTTGTGACCATGTGCACCAGGCTGGCAGCAATCACTCAGGGGCTGGGTATAGGAAACTATATGTCTTTTCAGTGATGCAACCTGCACTAGTGGAGGAAAAAGAGTACAAAGCCTGGATGGAATAAGCTATGCAGGCAGTAGAGATATAGGATGTTCCAGAGGCGCAAAAGAAGCAGAAGATCATGGAGAGTCTGAAAGGTCCTGCTGCAGAAGCTGTTAGAAATTTAAAGCTTAGCCGAGATCATCTATGATTCATGAATACCTCTGCATATTGCAGGATGAATTCAGACAAACAAAGACAGTTTCTGGCCTGATGCACCAGTTTGAGCACATGTACTAGAAAAAGGATGAAAGACTGTCTGGATATATTAAATGCTTGAATCAGTTATTATATCAGATCGTGTTGAGGAAGGGGATGGAGCCAGCTGAGGTAGATTGGACTAGATGCAACAGATTCTGTGAGGTGCCTCACAGAGAGACTCAGTCTGGATGCAGCTAAGAGCTCTGGGTAAGGCAGTTACCTTGGAGTATTCTGAACTCATAGGGAGGGTGAGAGCAGAAGAGGCAATGGAGGATGCAAAGGAAGTGTGGCTGACTCACTGCCAGAATTGCTGCAGGAGCTGAAGTGGTGAGCGCTGCAGATGCTGATGCCAGACTTACCGCCTTGGAGAATCACATATCCTGACTGATGGAGGCAATGGCCTCATTGACAGCAAAGGCTGCCTCAACCCCAAGTGGAGATGTGACAGGACCAGTCAAAGGAGGGGCGGGTATCTTTGCCCCAGCTGAGAAGTTGCTGAGATCAGTGATTTGTTATCATTGCAGGGGTGAAGGACACTATAGACATACCTGAGACCACACAGACCAAGAAGTCAGACACAGTTGGGAAATTACAGAAGGTCCCAGTGAAGGAGCCAACTGGGTACCCATCTATGCCAGCTTGCTCCAGTCTTAAGAAAGGCAGACAGCAAAATTGGGCATTGCAACCACAAGTGAAGCCCTACCTGGCTGCAGAATCAGTGGGAACACTTTGTTCTTTCTACCTATGAGGATCTAGCGAGGGTAAAGCAGTGAGGCATCGCAACAGGTACCAATAACAGCCTTTGCAAGCCCAGAAGAACATCCAGGCACAAACCATCAGACAAGATGCCTTATTCCTCCCCAACAGAGTCCTTGACAAATTAGTGGGCCCCTCCCTCTTAATGCCAGTGCAAGTGGCGGGTGTTTACACAAAGGCTCTCCTGGACTCAGGCATGCAAGTGACTCTGTTCAACAGGGATTTCTATGACAGACACCTAAAGCACCTTCCCCTACAAAAGCTGGACAATCTGGAGATTTGGGAATTGGGACTAAGAAGTTTCCTTACAACAGTTATTTACCCTCCAGTTAATGTTTGGCCCCGCCTGTGGGGCACCCTGAAACTGTTGATACCTTACCCATTGTATGCATATGCCCCCCAGAATCAATCTGAACAATTGAGAGAAGACTGCTTTTATTTGCCCTCTGGGATTCTATGAGTACAGTCAGATTCCCCAGGGTTTATCAGGGCCCCAGTGACTTTCCAGTGACTGATGGAATGAACAGTAGGAGACATGAACTTGATCAAGGTGCTAATATATCTAGACAACATCATCATCTTTGGAGAGACATTAGAATAGCACAAGGAGCACCTGGAGAAAGTCCTAATGTGTCTCCATGATGAGAGTTTGAAGCTGTCACTGGAGAAGTACCAGTTTTATCAGCCATCAGTCACTTACCTTGGGCATGTTATCTCCACAGAAGGGATATCGACCAATCCCATGAAGCTTGAAGCCATCACTTCCTGGCCCAGAATACAAAGCATGGGCGAGCTGCAATCATTCTTAGGATTTTGCTCCTAATGTCAGTGATTCATTGGGGGGGGGCGGGTGCGAAGATAGTCCATCCTCTCAATTACATATTTAGGAATGAGGAAGCTAAAGATGTGCCTGGCTCTTTGAATAAGCCCCACCAAAGTTAGGGGCCCAGGAAATCCTGGCAGTCAGTACAAGGAGAGTGGACCAAGCAGTGTGAGCAGGCTTTTTGCCAAATGAAGAGGAGCCCCTATTCTGGCCTATGCAGATCTGACCCTATGAGTTACATGTTGATGCTAGTAGGATGACCTTGGTGGGATATTGTATCAAGAACATGATGAGATATTTGAGGCTTGTTGCCTATGCCAGCAGGAACCTAACCTCACTCAAGAAAAGCTATTCCACTCATAAAATAAAATCCCTGGTGTCAAAATGGGTGGTGGTGGACAAGCTAAGAAACTATATGGGGCAGAGTTTAAGGTCAACAATAAATCTCCTCCGCAGGGCATCAGTGGTTGGCTGTTCTCTCTGGATTCCACTTCAGCCTAAAGTACCAGCCAGAAATGGGGATCAGGGATGCAAATGAGAAGGCCTTATGACCTAGGGCTGCTGACAAAGACTGGATCAATTGACCCCAGCGGGCATACAAACCCTGTTTCAAGGGGTTGAACAGCAGGCTAGAGGAGCAGCAGGGCAGAGGTGATTGGGGTCACCAAACTGTACTACAATCCCACACTGGTGAGAAACAGAGGCCTGGCTGTACTAACCAAGAAGGACCTGAGGAGGAACCAGGGAGAAGACCGTCTTTGCAATCTGGCTGCGAGGGCTCTGGAGAGTGGGGGACAGGAGGCCCTGTTAACCAACTGACCAAAAGAAACCTGACCATTGCATAAAGAATGGGAACAATCATAGTTCCATGGTGGGGTGGTTTACCAGCCCCCCCAGACAGTTTCAAGGAAAAATGGCTCTTGAGGAAAAATATAGGTGGTGGTGCTGGTTGTGTTACATAATGACCATGGACACTTGGGACCAGAGAGGACCTTCAAACTAATGAGATAAAGGCAGAAGTTGAGAACTATTGTCAACCCTGCCTGTATTGTATTGAGCAACAGACCCTACCCCCCCCCCCACTCCAATGGGTCATCTATAGAGCCAAGACCTCATGGAGCTACTCTGCATTGACTTTCTGTACCTAGAACCAGATACCAATGGGCAGGGGAATATGCTGGTGGTAACCAATCACATCATCCACTATGCATAGGCTTGGAGGAGAGGCAAGTGGACCCTCTCCACAGCAGTTGGAACCTGAGAATGAGCTCCCAGCTCCAGGGACCCCTGAACCTGCTAAACTTTTGGAGGAAGGCTCATTCACCCCAGGTAAGCCCAAAGAGCCAAAAGAAGGGTGATACACCCCCCTCAGACACTCTAGGCAGGTCATAGCATGGAGGAGGTGAGGTGGTGAGTTCACTGTTGGTGAACTGTTCACCACTCTTTGGAGCACCAAAGACTCTTGGCTGGGGAAATGTGTAGCAGACCCCCAAGTGACAGCACTCCACCAGTGGCCGGATATCCTCATACCGGGAGTGGAGGTATCACTCAGAAATTTGAGGGAAGGAGCAGCATTGATGAAGAGGGGTTAAAAGGGGGAGCACATGGTGGGAAAAGAGAAAACAAAGGGAGACTGAAGAGGAGAAGGGGAGGAGGAGAAGGAGGCAGAAGGAGAATAAAGAGCAATAGGATGATAGCAGAGTAGAGGGAAGAGAGGAGTTGAAAGTAGAGTGGAAGAATAGCAGCCAATCAGAGAGAGGGGGGAGAGGGGGATAGAGGAAGAGACCTACCAGACAACCCCATGGCTGCCATTCCCATGTGGTAAGGGTTACCCAGAGAAATAATGGAGGTGAATGAGGCAAGGGCAGCAGAGCCAGGTGTGGTGGTGAAAGCAACGGAGCTGGACAAACGAGCGTATAATGGAGCCAGGTGCAGAGGTGATAGCAGCGGAGCCAACAAGGCAGCGCATAACGGAGCCAGGCGAGTGGGGCAATAAGTGTGCAGAGGCAGAGCCAGATAATCCAGATGAACCAGAGGTGTAGGTGAGCCTGACGGCAGGTGAGCCAAGGCAAGAACAGCAGGACCAGATGAGTTCGAGGCTGGTGGAGGTGAGCTGACTGAGTGGGGCACATGTGAAACTGACTGGAAGTGAGCAGTCGGCCTGAGCAATAGACAGTGATAGAGACACTGGGGCGCCAGGCAAAGAACATGAGGCAAAGGACGGGGCTGAGGGTGGGGAAGAGCCAAATTGCCTGAAGAAGGGGACAGAGGAACCCGGACTCTAGTGGCCCTTTCAGGGATAGTGCTACAAAGATGTTATGGAAGAGGAACAAATTCTACCTCGCAAGTTTGAGACAGAGTTGAAAGTCGATTTAAAAATGATACACTACAAGAATGACATAGTAAAAAGAATGTTATTTTGGACCTGCAAAAGAAACTGGCTGATGTCTTAATAATTAAAAAGAATATACAAATAACAAATCAACAGAGTGACCTGAATACTTTTCCTATATTGGATTTATAAAAGAAGCTTGTTAAAGTTTTGAAGGATTTTATGAGAAGGAACAGAGAAAAACTAAAAAGAAATCAACTTCTATGATATTATTTGAAGGGACTAAAGATCACGATTATTGGATGTAAGGAGATGGAATATAAAATTTGTTTATTTGATCAAGGTTAAAAATAGATATATTGTTATCTCTGGCAATCCTTAATAGAGTTTTACTGACATCCACACTAAAATGACAAGGATTTATAGCTTTGTTTGATAAGAGATGGGATATAGAAGGGAATCATATCATTTAAGAGGGTGGTAAGTTACTAAATTTGTTTTTATTCGTAATGAAGGGGGAAGTCATTTCTTTATTTATTTTCTTTTTCTTTACTATGTTGGAAGTTAAAAGGCCTGGGATCTGACCCCACACGTATACTTTTAGCAGCCCTCTGAACTGCCGACCAGCCTCAGAATAAACCTTTAACCCTAACAGTTAGACTAGCATCTCACTGGCTCCATCTAAAGGCAGGAATCCCCTCAGGATAAGGAAGATGCCAGATCCCCTCATAATAAATCCACACTTAGGGAGGAATTTATATATCTGAGAGTGATCTTCCTTTATGGCAGCAGCCCCCAAACTTTTGGGCACCAGGGACTGGTCCCATGGAGAAAAGCTTTTTCTGTGGACTGGAGGGGGTTTAGTTTTGCTACTGCCTGCATCTTGCACAGTGTTTCTCAACCTTGACAATTTTAAGGCATGTGGACTTCAACTCCCAGAATTCCACAGCCAGCATTTCTGGCTGTGGAATTCTGGGAGTTGAAGTCCACATGCCTTGAAATTATCAAGGTTGAGAAACACTGATCTTGCGGATGGGGCTTCATTTGTTTGTGCCGCCCAGTTGCTGGCATACTATGGCCCAGTACCGGTCCATGGACTGGAGGGTGGGGACCTCTGCCTTGTGAATTTCATACACACCTCAGAATCAAAGCCCAGGACAGGAGCACCTCAATCTGCACAGGAAGGACAATTGCCTTTTGACAAAGTCAGACACTAAAAGCAGCACATACACCAACCACAACCCCTGAGGTCACACCAAGGACCAGTCCCCCTATAAAACCAAAATCTCTGGACCCCATTTTCTCTGTAGCCTACCCTCCAAAACAAACCTCTTTGCTTTGGGAAATACATGGATCTCGTTTCTCACAATATGTCTAGATTTCATTTTTAATTTGTTCTTGCGCCACCCTGGCTCGTGGAACCCCCAAATTATTCTTCGAACAATTATATTCTTATTTTATTCTATTTCCCTTTTCATTTCACCTTTTTTCTTTCTTTTCTGCACTTCTACTTTTTGCTTTACTTTTATTTTTTTTTCAATTTATGTTAGTTTTTACTGTTGTAAGTATAATTTTAATAAAATTATTATAAAAACACAAAGAAAGAAAATAATACATATATCATATGATTGTTTATTTTGAGGTTTAAAATCACAGCTAAATCAAAATAAAACAAACAGAGGTTATAATTAATGTAATCCATGATGAAGTAGAAATTCATCAATGCACTGTATAATGTTTAGATTACTTGAAATTCTAGGTGAATTTTCCCAAGGCTAACTGCTTATCTGAAAATCAGCATGTCTGAAAGAAGGTTAAGTTGAAACAAGCAGATGCTTCCACACTATTTGAAAAAATGAGGCAGGGGAGGAAGGGACCATTTTATCTGAAGCTACTCAAGGTTATTTCTGGATACTTTAGTATGGATATTGCTTAAGTATCCATATATCAGGCGGTTCCCCTGAAACCACTCTTAACATTAAAATAAATCAATGCAATGTTTTGTGAAGTAACTTACTCCTTGCTATTAAATAAGATCAGACTTCTGATCAAGCCTCTCTAGAGTTTGGCCTGTCACTAATAATATCATTCTGCAGTTCTGAGATTTCTTGGCTAAGAATGAGGGAGAAGCAAGAACAATCACTTAGCTGCAAACTCTTTACTGACAACAATACAAACAATCCCTATAAGTGGCTTCTAACTCACTGACATCAGAGAATTGTTTATTCTCTTCTAGCCAAAGAGATGGAAAGATAGGAGGGAATGCGCATACAGATAGTCCTCAACTTACAATCATGCCCAAAATTTATGTTGCTAAGTGAAACATTTGTTAAGTGAGTTTTGCACCATTTTACATCCTTTCTTGCTACAGCTGTTAAGTGACTCATTGCAATTGTTAAGTTGCTGTTAAGTGAATCTGGTTTCCCCATTGACTTTGCTTGTCAGAAATTCACAAAGCTGATCACATGACCCCTGGACACTGCAATTGTCATAAATATGAACCAGTTGCCAAGCATCCAAATCACGTGACAAAGGGTATGCTGCAGTGGCTGTGTGAAAAACGATCATAAGTCACTTTTTTAAGTGTCATTGTAACTTTGAATGGTCACTAAATGAACTGTTGTAAGTTGAGGACTACCTGTATTACATTACATTGCAGGGTCATGAATATCCTTTGAAAGAGGTGCTATGGAATGAAAGGGCATGGTACATTTTTTCCCCCAAATCCTGAAAGGACACGATCTTCTCTACTTGAGCTTGGAAAGAAGAGGCAGTAACTCCGAGGATTCAAAAAGAACTGCTTCATAATGTTCTCATGTATGATGAAGCACCTCTTTCAAGGGATTTGCAATCCTAACATAAAAAACCAGCCACATGGACAGAGCAAAACAACAGCACAAGTATCTATCACCCCTTGCCATGGAATGGGGGTGCTGCCACTGCTTGTCATTTTGAGATGTTTAGCCTTCCTTGGGAAAAGAAAAGGAGTAGGAGGTGAAATCATACAGTATGGCTATTTACTACTTCATAAGTGGTACCTCAGATATAACATACTAAGCAATGCCAGGCAAATGGTGGGGTGAGTGATCTTAAGGAAAGCCACTTGAGATGGGATTAACAGAGGCTCTGGCCCCTTGGATGGAGTATATTCATGCAGTAGACAGTGCTGTGGATGGCTGTTGCCTACAACCTGAACAGGGACAAATGGTGTGAACTGCAATAGAAGAGAGCAGTTTGGTTGGGAAGTGAAAGAGGAGTTGCAGGAAAGCAGGCAGCCTGAATACATTAAACCACAGGTTTAATGACATAATGACTCTTAAGGTCCAGAAGAGAAATAACTCTCTCTTGAAATCAGCATGGTCAGACCATTGGTGAAGATACTCAAGAAATGGTTCATTAAAGAAACTCTGATATAACTTTCGACTCTCAACAAATTCCCACCAGCCTTCCTAATTATAAAAACATCTGGAAAGCCTTAGATTTTCTACTCCTGACATAAAGGTTCTGAGCTGAGGCCTGCTACAATGCCACCTACCTGCTTGTACTGAGGGTTTCTTCCTCCCCTTGCTGAATAGAGTTTGAAAACTTCGAAGCGGCAGTTAAGGTACCTGATTACACAAATGTTTACGTGTGCAGCTCTACCACTCACACACTTTGCACATCTTGTGTGAAATTTGATATGTTTTGACTGGCTAAGGAAATACCTCCATTCTCCACACAACCATCACCACAATCTGTTGCCTCTTCATCGGTGGAAAACTGAGTGGTCATCTCCTCACTCTTCAATGTGGGCTTCAATGTCTCCGCAGTGGACTTAACATCTGCAATTTAAAGAAAAGAGAAAAGAAAGGACAAATGAATGATCTCACCAGATTCTAGATCAAAGTGAGATAGCAATCATATGTGATAGCAAAGAGAATTTTAGTTTTCTTCACTTCCTATTTGGCCTCAGCTTGCCTGGGTAAATAATACTAGGCCAGTTCGTTATTGCACAACCATTTACCACTCTTTGAATGATAATCTGGCAGATCCAAAAAGGCTTCAACAAAAAGATCCAGTCCTTAGGAAAGCAAGTGACTACAAGTAGCCCCTGACTTATGACCACAACTGAACCCAAAATTTCCATTGCTAAACAAGACAATTGTTAAGTGAGTTTTATCCCATTTTATGACATTTCTCGCCTTAGTTATCACTGTCATTAAGTTAGTAACATGGTTATTAAGTGAATCTGGCTTCCCCATTGATTTTGCCTGTCAGAAGGTCGCAAAAGGTGATTACATGACCCCGGGACACTACAACCATCATAAATACATGCCAGTTGCCAGCATCCAAATTCATTAGCCAATGAATATTTAAAAAAAAGATGAACAGTGCTATACTGGTTCCCATAAATAATCATTACAAGACAGACCCAGGAAAGAAACAGTTATGATCATAGTATGACATAGGAACAAGAATTCATGCCTATGGTAGCCCAGGCACCAACTCTACTCTCACATCTTCTCTAAAAAAAAAAACCCCTAGATTTTGACTTAATAATGTCAGTCCCACAAATCAAGAGAAGCTGTTTGTCTTCCACTTTTAATACATGCCATTGTCTATCAGCAATATACACCACTTTCTGTCCCCTTTACATAGGACAAGCTGTCCAAACTCCATACAACAGAAGACATGGATACATCAGAAATGGCAATATTTTTAAAGCAATAAGAAAACGCTTCTATATCTTACACCTCAAGAACTTTCAAAGAGAAAAAAAATGCAACTGATGATAAATTCATTAATAAATTCAACACCATTTTTACAGATTATGAATAGATCAAAGCTTTTGACCAATGACATGTTAACTATCAAAAATGTTATATCAAACCTGCGACATTATGCAGTTTCACCCTTCTTCTCTCTTTTCATTTCACCCTGTTCCCTTTTTACTCTCTTTCACCAAAACATAAACCTACTATTTATGGATTTAAACTATTATTTTTCAAAATAATAAGCTCCTATGATAATGGATTAGTGGTCTTTGTGATGCCACAGGCCTCTTGGTTGTTTTTATTACAATAGACTATCACAGCTGGAAACAAATCTATTTATTTTTGTTTATAGCCATTATGTAAATCTGAGGTCACCAGCATATACTAAGATAAAATATATAATGCTGTCAACTTACAGCTCACTTTTTCTTTCTGATGGATCCTACACTCTCTTCAAAAATAAAAATTAGTATCTACAGTACAGCTCAGTGTTTTATTTGAACTGTACCCACTGCATGAAATGAAGCAGAAAGGATGAGAGGCAGGATCATGAGGAATCAGTGGTTTTTAACCACTTTAACTGCTCCTCATGGATGACATTTTGTGAATGAGCAAACCTTTTCCCACCAGCTGTTTAGCAACAGCCCTCAGCACAACCTCAAAATCTCAGGGATGCCAACTAACACAAAAAGAACTGTCCAGTATAAATAATTAAATCTTCCATATTTAAAATCTCTCTCTTTTTCAAAGAATTCTTTCTTTCTGAGACTGTAGAAATACAGTCCATTTCTATCTTTTTCTTTTTCTTTTCTCCTCTCCCAAACATTCTGTGTATATAAATATTCTTATTTCAAGATTATACATTGATGGTGTAGATCAGTGGTGGTGAACCTATAGCACGGGTGCCAGAGGTGGCACTCAGAGCCCGGCTCGTGCGCCATCGCCCCAGTCCTAGGCCTTCAGCTGGGTTTTATAAAACCTTTTCGCTTTAGGCCTCCGCTGCCGTGTGCAAAAAAAGAGAGGTTCAATCAATCAGTCAATTTCAACTTCTTGCGGGGAAAAAAAAAAGATCTTGCAAAGTTGGAATTGATTGATTGAACTTTTTAGTCCTACCCAGTCTGCTGTTACCACTGCAGCCATGCCCAGCCAATGGGCCATGTCCAGCCAATGGGCCACACCCACCCAATGGGCCACACCCACCCGGCACCCAACGATGTATAAGTGGGTTTTGGGTTGCAGTTTGGGCACTCGGTCTCTAAAAGGTTCGCCATCACTGGTGTAGATTGTTTTCTATGGTAATAAAAACATATAATCTGTAGATGCCATAAAACATTACTGATTTAATGCTTCGAGGAATGTATTCAAACCCTCATAAAAGTCCCTTTTTTGCAGTGAATATTCTTATTTTGTAACTTCTTATTCTGAAACTTTCAGTAAATGATTCTGCTAAACTGTTCCTTACAAACAACTAGCATACGGAACACACAGGGATACCCAGCAATCAAGAGAAGGCAGATTATGTGGCCAAAAGTGTGGATTAACAGGATTCCTGGTGTATGCTAAGTGGGCTCTATTCATGGATCAACACAACTAGCTGGCAGCTGCCCCTAATTTGCTGTCCAAATTTGAAGGCTAAGATTAGTCTACTTTGGATCCCTTGTGTTCATGTGCCTGGTGCTCTTGAAGACTGCCTGTGCTCCCTTCTAAGCTTTCATGTTTCAGAACAGCACTTTGCATCTGATGCAACATAAGGTCGTGGTAACAAAGACCATTAAAACCACAGCTGCATATGATCCATAAGGCAATGGGAAAAGAGGAAAGCAATTATTCATAGATGAGTAATTATGCTGTCTCTCTGAAAACACCATGCGGACAAATACCTTTGCAAATATGAACCAAGCATAGGAAGTCTGTACTGGAAATCAAGTAGAACTAAAAAAAAAAAAAAGGAGGAAAAAAAACCTGCCAGATGAATTTTAACTAAGTAATGAATTCAAACTCCCAGCAACCAAGTCATAAAATTAATAGAAAGGTTCCCTTTTATGTGCAGGATAATAAAGTAATGGACGAAAGGCAATTAAGTTTCCCACATGCCACAGATATCAATATAGCTCAAGTCCCTTCTGGAGATTGATTTATGGATCCAAAGGAAATAAAGAATTCTTTCATCTTTGGGCTTGGTGGTCAACAATCTTTTTTAGACTTGTAGTCTTACTGGTTTTTATTTGAACTGGCAAAGAGATTTACTGCAGCCCTAAGAAAACTGACGTCAGGAATAATACTTTTTTCTTTCAAAAAAGGAGTAAGACACAGAGAAAGCACACACACACATTCAAATGAGCCAGTGCATAAGAACAGGTCACGCAACACTTCAAATGGCATATCTATGAAGTACAAGAAGATTTTTAAAGTTCTGTGGCTTTTTGTAGACAAGCGCATGATTACATTTGGCTGTACAGCTCACCACTCCAGGAAACTCCCTAAGAGTGTCAAAATCAGTTAAAGTCACAAATGAATAAGATCTGCAATAACTTATATTATAAGTACTTGCCCCTTCAATTTAAAGGAAGAAAAGAATGAGGTTGCATTATAGAGAACCATTTTATCCTCTTAAGAAACTTTCTGTGCAATATCATATGCTAGACTCTATAAGACCAGTGTTATCATGAAGCTCACAGATATGATATACCAACACAAATTCTAAATGAGGAATATCAAATTCTGTTCAAGTAAATAAACAATGAAAAATCAGTTTCATTGGCAGGAGAGTTACTATTTGGCAGATATTTGCTCAATCTGTTGAGATCAATCCAGTCAGGTTAGGGTGCTATGTGAGCATATTAGGGAAAGAGAGAGAGGAAGACAGACAGACAGACAGACAGGGAGGGAGGGAGAGAGGGAGATTTCATGAGGGTGAAGGTTCATTCTCCAAGCTTGTAGGCTGGTTTACAAACATTTCGTTACCAGGCTATGTAACATCTTCAGCGGAGTTTAGGGGAGAGTTTCATGTTGTAGTCCTCTCTTTGCAATAGAAGCTGGCTGGGCAACTTGGGCCAGTCTTTTTCTTAGCCCTCTAGACTGAGAAATCGCAAAGCATCTATCTACCAATTGGACCAGCATGATTGATTACAGTTCATAATATTTACTGAAGAGGACTTCATCATGTAGTGGATTTATTTAGACTGATCACACACACACACACATTCTGACACTTTGGTCATGCTGTGAGGACAGGAGTTTGCTACTTGGCAAACCTCGTCTGATTACTTCGTGCCATGTCTAAATAGCTGTTCAGCATGTGACGCAGTACAAAATAATTCTCAGGCTTTCAACAAAATACTACACAACCTCTGAGCTGTATGATTTATAAGTTCAAATCTGTTATACAGCCATACATCTTCAAGGGTATTAACAGCAGCTTACATGAAAAGAAATTGAACAAAATGGTTATTAAAAATATCTGGGGAACCAAGAAATCCAAAGCTGAACATCAGATGCATTAAACCCTTTCCTTTTGTACTCAGGAGATTTACAGCAGGAACATAACTTCCAGAGAGATCTTTGAACATGAAAGCCCCATAGTGTGCCTGCATCCTCTGCTGGAGTAATTTAGAAGCTTTGCAGTGTCATATATGGTCAATAGAGTTGCGCAGATTTCATAGCAGAATAAAGCAAACTTACCACAACAGCAGGGGAGACAACATGTGTTAAGAATGGAACCTATGCAAAAGAGAGTCTCCCTCCTGCTGGGCAGTTTATGTACTGCAAGAGGTAGTTGTGGATCCTGTTACAAAGCTGTCAAGCAATTGAAACCAGATGTTTGCAAGTTCAAAGGAGAGAGAACCAGTCACGAGCTAATATTTGTCAATCTTCAGAAGGGAAAAAATGTTGGCAGGCCCTTGAAACAAGCCAGCTGTTGACCTAATGTTTCAATTTTTCTTCCTACCAAGTAGCTAGAATGCCAAATGCTCCTGGCCCAAGTTCCTGTAAGAGGTACTTCAGGTCTGAAGGGCTCCAGAAACGGATCACTTAAAGGTCAAACTTGCAAGTCACACCATAAGTGGTCATTTACTGCATATTTAAATAATTTAACAAGATCTTACTAAGGCCACAAAGAGAAATAAGTACCACCATAACTCACAGTCCTTGAGGGTTAAAAAAACCCAATCTAGCACCAAGTTGCAAAGAAGAATGTTCTTCAAAGAGGTATCCAAAATTGGTTTAAATGCAATCAATTAATGGTTTTAGGAAGTGAGGCGCAGTAAGGGCAACCGGCAGATAAATGTGAAGACCCTAGACTAGTGTTGTCTAGTCTAGTGTTGTCTAGTCTATTCTGGATCTAGCTTTGGTTTGTCTTTCTTTCAAGAAAAAAAAAATCCTAACCTGAAACTGATGATCAGCCTAAGGCTTTATGTAAAGGTTCTAACAGTAGATTGAAAGGCATTCAGTCAAGTGCTTCCCAGCAAAAGCATTTCTTATGAATAACATTAATGGCATATGATTAGGCTATAGTCTTTCTTCTAGACACCTAACATTTAGATGAAAGACCATTTAATCCAGGGGTGTCAAATTACCGGCCTGCGGACCAGATGCGTCATGCTGAAACCGTGCCTACCCCATTGCTGGCAATGGAAAAAAAGTCATGAAACATCACGACATGTCACGTGACGTTGCGAGTTTGACACCCCTGATTTAATCATATGAGCCTCCAATTTGCAGCCTGAAATGATATTAAGTGAGACATACAAGAAGCCACAGTCCTTGCTGTTTGTATTTCTAAAGTAGTGTGGGCATTAGACATTTTTGCCAATTGGGAGTTTATTATACCAGCAGATTTCTTCCATTCCAAAAATGTGTGTATTTATTTTTTTTTAAAAAAAAATCTCATTTATTTATTTGTTGGTTGGTTGGTTGGTTTATTGGCTATCTCAAGGTAGCATAGATATTTAATGCTGCCAGCTCCCATTTTCCCCTAAGTGACAATCCTGTAAGATGGTCTGAGAGATTTTTATATTCTGATTCCTGGACAAAGACAAATGTAATAATGTTGGGCAGGATGTCCAAGTTATATATCAATATTTTATGCAAACTTTCCAAAATTCTGTCTCCAAGTGTAGCTTTCCCTTGCCTGAGCAATCTATACTCATATATGGATACTCAAGCAGTATCATGCTTCTGATAGAGCAGCATGGAAGTTCCCACAATATCTTCCACACTGAGGCTATGATTTTTAGATTTGTGGTTCAAACATTCCCTGTCAAATAAAAACACTCTGTATAGCAAAAAGGGTCAGTTTATCAATTTTAACTTAAAATTGTAGATGTGTTATTATTTTCATATATATTTGATAATGCATGCCAAAGTATCATACAGTTTATTTATTGAAAGGTAGTAACAATCCAGTGAGGGAACTGCTTCTTTGGAAGTTTGTACAGACCAAGCCAATCTATACAAACAAGCTTTTTACAGATGTGGTTTCCAAACAGAAATCAAACCTTTTTTACCAATGACATCTGGAAAGCAGACTGACTGCTAGATGCATCTTAACAAAATAAAAGAGAAAGTATAATTTTCTAGCTCTAATAGTCAGCAGTAAAAGGATTTAGTTGGTAGTGGTAGCTTGTGCTGTATTTTTTGTCATTTCAGCTAAGCCTGGAAGGTAGAGGGCTAAATCCAGCTGACGGTTTTCATACTTTATGATTACACATCAAAAGGAAGAATAAGCAGTTTCTTTATAAAATCATATGTGTAACATTTTGATTCCTTAGATCGACAGATAATTGGTCTCTCTCTCAAGAATCCTGAAATATAAGAGTTTAACCTTGTGGAACAGATATCTCAAGCTGAGTCTTCCTAGTTCTTGAGATGTTCCTGTTAATTATACTGAAATTCTTCCTAATGTATGTTGCTGGGTATATGAATTAAAATAAAGGATCTCACGAAACATAGCATAAAATCAGAGCAAGGCAATAATTAAAACAGACATACAGAGTCATCAGTTTTGAGAATTACATAAAGTGCAACTCAATTGCCCAGGACGGGTGCAGTCATTAGAATATTATCCCCCACCATTACATACCATTCTTCTTCTCATATACTTTTCATAAACATTCCTTCCCCTTCCTCTCCCCATTTTAAACCCTGATAATATATATGTTCGCTCATATAGATTATTCCACACATGCACACGTGCACCCTCTTGCTCCTCTTATTTCATTGGTAGAAATGGGGGACCTTAACATTTTCTTCGTGTGCTGAGATTCAGAATGCCTGCTCTCCACAAATAGGAAAGTCCTGGCATGAAGCAGTCAGAAGGCGGATATAAATGAGAAGGAAAAACTAAGAAAACTTATCTTCCTTTTTTAATCTGCACCCTGAATGCCATTTGGAAAGAATTTTCTTTTTGCTTTGAGGAAGGTGCTACAGGGCTATAGACACTGAATTTATGTCCCCACAGCCTAATAAGCTGTGAAGTTAGGCATATGTTTACAAGGGAAAGGGGTCCGAACATCCATAGCCAGTCATATACAAAACTTGAAGATTGTCCAGAAAGGAGAGTATAAAACAACTTATGAACTCTAATAGGCTGAGAATAAGCAATGAAAATAGTAAATGTTATCAAAGACATCTTCTATTAAAGATTTTCACAGTCAATATTGCCATCCTGAAAACATAAAGCTGAAAGAGAGGTTCACTATTGTTATGTATTCATGTGAATTACTTAAAACCTGTTGGAAAAGGTCAAATGGCTGCGTCCCTTTAAACCCCAGACTTTCTGTCTACAGACTTGTTAATTTGCATTTAAGCGGGAAAGCCTGCTTTAATTCTATTGGCCGCCGCCTAGCGGTGACCCGTATAAATAGAGGTTCGGCAGCAGTTAGTGCTGCTTCTGTTGTTAACTGAATAAAGAGTTGTTGTTTGCTCCAATCGCCTCGTCAATGCCTCACCAATCTCGAAACATAACAGCTATCATCACAGGAATACATACAGAAAACATTTCTACTCATTCTAGGCAGAGCAAGAATTATTCATCAGGAAGAGTGGGGAAAGGAAAATATTTGTGGTGCAATGTCATCAGTTTGGATTCTCACATAGAAACTTTTATGCAAACATTCCCAGGACCAAAATGGCTGAAGGATTCATGACATGAAATAGATTCATAGAGCTCTTACCAGTCCAGTCACACCCAAGGACTTCTAATCGCATCCCGATCCCTGCTGGAGACCATCTTTCTGGGTAAACTCTGATGAACTGTGCAGGAACAGGATCAAACCTTCTAACTTCAGGGGTGTCGTAGTGCATATTCCCTTCAAATATCTTAGAGAAACAAAGATTAAGTAGGACATTCCTTGGTTTAGAGCCATAAAAAATAAACAGATAATAAAAGAAGGCAGCAACTCTTTGGGAAACTGGTTTTTCTTTAAAATTTACCTGAAGTTTTTTTTTCTACTAAGCAACAACTGGGTCCAGTGTAATGAATTTGGACAACCTAAAAAATGTAACTAGTTATAAAATGACCATTGGAAAGACAGAATAGAAAAATGCTGGAAAATAATAATAATGGTTTAAACTCGGTCTGTTTGAAAAAGGACCTTTTTGTTAGCTTTCAGATAAGGATGTGCTGTTCTCTGCATCCAAATTCAAAAAGGTATTTCAGAGAAGGTTTAGGTGTCAGCAATCCCCTGAAGGAAGTTGCATCTTTCTCTGAGCTCAAAAGCCACCTGTGCAATCTATGGAAAACATGTGTTTGAATTAAGAAAGCACCACAGGGAGCAACAAGGTGCTTCAGAGTATGCATGGCTATTAGCATCTCCTTATCCCACAAGCAGATTTTCTTGGGATTGTATGACTGCTGTGTGAGCCCAGAAAGCACCAACATAAGTATATATTACTCCAGGGCACCTTTTCAGTTTGAATTCAAAGTGTAGCATTTTCATTAATAGCTTTTCATCAATTGCTGACATATTAGACCAAACCACAAAAGCTTGTAATATTTAAGAATGCAAGCTGTCAGTATCATCTTGTCAGCAGATTGCTTTTTATTGAGGTGAAGTAATACCGAAGCTGCTTTTTTAAGAATAAATGACAATACATTTATTGAATTTTACCTCTACTAGAGAAGGTAAAACGAAAAATACCCAATACATGTTATACCAAAATTGGCCAAGATTGTCAGAAAACATTTTCTATCTTAAATGCACTAGTGGTTGAACTATCTAGAGAAATTCTAACAGTCTTTTTCCTGGAAATCTGAAAGATAAATTTTGTTGTCATAAGAGACAAAGTAAATAGTAAACATTTATGTAAACAATATCATCTGCAAAACTACTGGTGAGCCTAGGTTACTTCGATTATAATTCAATTACATTAGCCAGGAGCAGAAATTTCCTTTATCTTGGATTTTAAGAAATTCAGCACAATATGGATTTTCTTCAGAGACCCTCAGGGAATATATAGTTCAATATGTCCAACTTCAGCCTATATAAACCAGAGTGTAACAGTGGCTAAGGTTTGAACTAGGCATGGGGAGACAGGCGTTCATGTGCATCCTCAGCCTGGAAGCTCCCTGGGTGACTGAGCCAGGCTCTCTTTTTCAGCCCAACCTACTTCACAAAGCTGCTGTAGAAATAAATTGGAGGGTGGAGTTCTACAATACTGCCTTGAGCTTCTGGAGGAAAGGCATGTTATAAATTAAACGAAACAGGTTGATGGGCAAGATCTGGTCAAATCTTGGTTATATCATTTCTCAGTACTATGTGACATTACCTGTGAAAAATGAAAGCTGCAAGTTGAGCAAAAAATGACACTTAAGACTGCTAACCACTGCAAGATACAGGGATCATATGACCTCTCTACTGAAAGATCTGCACTGGTTGCCAATTGCTTCTGAACAATTCCACATGTTTCAAAACTTGAATAGCTTTGGACCTGTCTGGCTCACGATGACCTTTTTTGTTATATATGTTGTTATGATCTACAGGATACGTCCTATGGAAGATGCCCCCGTGTCATAGGCCCATTTTCCTGCCCCATGGGAAAGAATTTGAAATGCAGTCTCCTAGGGGGTTGTGTTCTGTACTCATTCTCCTAGCATTCAGAAAATCTACAAAGATGTATCTCTTTTACCAGACTTAATTCCAGTTTGCTATATGTTGTGGTTGTTTCTTAAATTTTGTTAACCACTATAAGTAGAAATATGGTGTAAACCAAATAATAAGTGCAAACAAAAAAGTATGTTAGGAGTGGGTTGTAGCTTAATCTCTAGCCTGTTTCAAATCCTTATGTGTGAAAATCCTTCTAATGTAGCTTCAGGCTACATACATTCACATCATATTTATATGGTTTGCTAAAATCCTAAACTCTCTGCAGATGTTTCAATTACAATATCTAGTTAAAGTAAGAGCAAGATGGGCATATAATCCCACTTTCCTAATTCTCAACTCTTTTATGGATCTTCATACGTGGAGCACTTAGATCTCCAAGTAGTAAAGGTATGAGCTGAAAGATCATTCTGATGAACATGCTTAAAGATCTCTTTGCAATTGGGGGTCTTCTGTGCATGCAAAACTTGCAGCCTTGATTTGGTGATCATGACTCACATTCAGTTCAAGATGCAACAAAAATCCACGAAAAGCCCAACAAATCTCAATCACCCTGTGTTGAACTCTGGTGGCATGCTATGTAAACACATCAGCTAAAGCATACTTTTTGGTAGATGGCTATAGTAATAAGATGATAGGGCTTTTTCACCTTTGGTACAAGCTAAGGCAGTTATTTTCAAATAGATTTGATCTGAAAAGTAATTGAGAGGCAGGATATGGTGCTTCAGTTTCAAAATTACCCTTCCTTCCCTCTGTCTCCATCTCATTCCTTCCTCTGCTAGCCAGAGTTTGTGGCCAACTGAAAAGTTCCATGCCTAAGAGCAGGATGCTGCTGCCAAGCGGGATGCAGTCCATCTGACAAACCACACAGTGTGCTTTGGCACAGGACTTGCCTCCTCTTAGCTAGATGTTGATCCCAGATATACTGACTCAAATCTGGTACAACTCTACTGACTTCTTGTGTAAACACTACTGTTAATAGTCTTCTTCTCCTTATCTGCCCCACACATTTTTCCATCAAGTTCTAAAAGACACCTCTCTATGATACCATATGTATTAATTCAAAGAATTGGCTAGCAGAAACCTAGACTTCGTGTTTGTCTATGATTTAGAGCCTTGGGCCTCTTGAATTAAGGCTTTTACAGTGGTGCAAAAGTTCATCTCTTAAATCCTTAACAAGTAAGAATGTCATTGGAAAACTTGGAAAAATGAAGCAGGACCTTCAATAAGAACAACCAAATATGGGCTCTAAAGCAGGCTATTTTTATCACAAATGGTCTGTACCCTCACCTTCCTCTGAATCATATGGAGAACAATACCCTGCTATTCACTGAGGAGATAAAACTGAGACAAGGCAGGATACAGTGAACACCAGGGCTGTGCCAAACATTCTTTGCAGAAAGGGTGGCGGTGGTGGGGGAGAAGTAATCAAGACTAAGCCACCCTCTTGCTAAAACGGTAAAGGAAAAACAGCAAAGGTTTCCCCTGTCCAGTTGTGTCCGACTCTAGGGGGCAGCGCTCATCTCAGTTTCTTCTCTGTAGTGGTTCATTAACAAAAGACAAAGCACAACTGCCATCATTTCTAACTGGATACTACTTTGCTGTCTGTCCTGTTCTGTCTATCCAAGCCACCAAGATATCCCAATTTCACTTCCTACAATAGCATGATAGAATTATTGGTGAGGCATAGGGAGTGCTGGATATGGATGTAATCTCAGGCCTACATTTTCTATTTTCCCAGTCAACCAGAAAAACACTTGTGGGCCAGGGGGAAAAAAGGGCGACACCACCCCCACCCCCTGAGATACTGGGTTGAAAGACAAGATTTTTTACCCAGCACCTTTGTTGCACAGACCTCCCCAAAAAACAAACCCTGGACCAGCAATAAAACCCTATTTCAAGACTGGTGATTAGGCAGCCTCATGCACTTTTTGGAAAACCAACAGAAGAGCCCAGGGAAGCAGAGGGCCCTGCCTTGTACAGACATTGTGTCTTCTAAACTCTCAACAGAGCATTCCCCAACATTTACTGCTCTGTTCTGCTGGTACTTATTTCTAACATCTATGCACGGTAAGTGGTCAATGGTTGCTGTTGGGCGTTTAAAGACACATTCAGCCACTTGTGCCTTCACGTGCAATCTGAAATGAAAAGGCCCATGTGTAAATTTGCCCTATGAGGGAAAAGAGAAAGAAGTGAAAAATAGATGACACTTTCCAGCTTCTAAGTGTTCCAGCTTTTCCACTACAAGAAGATGATCCTATTGCTAAATAGGAAGAAAGGAAGGGAGGAAAGAAGGAGGAAGTTCATTCATAGATAAGAATGTACTTCCTCCTTCCCACGTCCTTTTAAAATATACATTCATCTTAAATGCTTTTATGCTCCTTCAGTCATTTCAGCTTTAAGCAGCTCACGAGACCTATTACATAACCACTAATCACCAGAATAGAATAAGGTTATTTTTATTCTGAGACAAGTGTGAAACATATGACTTTGTGGTTTGCACAAGGACCCTTCAAAGTGGATAGACTCCTTTGCGTCTCCTGAAGCAAAGGCTCCCATGGGTGTAAGCAGCCATAATAAATTTCACCAGGAAGGAAGAAGCAATAAAAAGGAAAAAAGTACCAGTGCCCTGTAGCCCACTGTTACATTCCAGCTAAGAAGTCTTACCTTTGGCTGCATGGTCCGGGGATCTTGAATTGAATGCCAGTCTTTCCCATCCATGCTGTAGGCCACTTTAAACTTCTTCACAAAAGCTCGCGCCTCTGCCACATTGATGCTGTCCCCACCTCGGGCCCCTTGGATAATCACTCCTTTCACGTTCTTAGGGAGGCCCAGGTCTGCCTGCAGCCACTCCTCACCAGGCTGGGCTTGAGGGATGCGGGGGAACCATCCTGAGCGGCTGCTGACTAGGCGTGCCACACTAGGAACCCAGTGATACTCTCTGGTAGAAGAAGCTGAGATCTGAGAGTCTGGGATAAGTCCTGAAAGCATCCCCAACATACTGGAACAGGGTGAATCTGTATGAAAAGGAGCAGCAGTAAGCATAGAAATGGGTATTATGTAAAATCAGTTGAGGGACAAAAAATCTGCAGTGAAATAGGAAGAATAATGCCTCATTGCAATCAACTTCTAGGTACTGAAGTTGAGTGCAAAAGCCAGCTTTGCTTTGCTTTGCTACAGCTTTCATGGGTACCAGTGATATATGTTACCTAGTTTGGGTAATGAAATGTCTGCAAGAAAACAGCCAAGCTCAGAGAGTACCATGGACATCAGCTTTCATAGGCTACAGGGACCCCTTGGTGGTTGCTTAAAATACACCCTCTCCCCAAATCCCTAATCCAAACTAGCCTCTGCTTCCAGCTAATCTTTCCTCCAGTAATAGCATCCTGATTGCTGTTCCAGCTCTTTTAAAAAATAAATATCATTAAATTCAATCAAATGATGGCTAGGCTCAATGTTCTCTTTTTACATGTAAATTTACTTGTGGCATGTGAAGCCACAACTAATGGGGTGGGGTGGGGGCAGAAGGAAAAGCAATTATATAAGCATCCCAGTGAGACTGCAACATTACTTATCTCATGACCCAGAATTTCCAACTTTCAAAATGTTAGTTGAACTAAGAAGTCGTTTGAAATCTCTTTGCTATGTTTAAAAAAAAAGAAAGAATCAAGATGCAGTGGCTCTACATTCCCAAATCAGGTAAAAATGCTAGAGTGAAGGGTCATTGAATCCCTCCTGATCATTTCATGATTGCAGCCTCAACTCAAGTGATTATTTGCATAGGCCAATTGCTTCTCCTTCTCCTCCAACATTTGTACTGGACAATCATGTTGTGCAAAACCCAGTATCAACTCTGGGCATTTTCCAAACCTCACTTAGTCAGTCCTCCAAGAAAAAGATTAGGAAATGCAAGGGCACTGATAAAACGCAAGCCTTTAAGTGCTGTCAGTGCTGGGCAGCAAAAACACAAGTACTCCCAAACACTGATTAGCAGCAATGCTTAGTATGACTGCATGTCTGCTTGGAAAGCCCCAATGATGCAATAAAGCCTTGTCAATATTCTCCTGGTACAAAGGCCAAAAGGATACAAAACAGCATTGGAGAACTTGAATACAAATTTTGTGTTCCCTAAAATGGTAGCTTTTGAACCAATTAGGATGATTGTGTGCTGCTTGGTAAAGGAGTGCCTGATGGGGCTAAGATTGTTCTCTTTGTAATGTGGGCCATTTAAGAAGAGAATAAACCCAGTATGCATGTATGTATTGATGGGCTGATTCAGACACAAACTTGTGCATTACCCTAATGAATCTTCAGATTTTTTTAAAAAAAAAATACAATAGCAGCCGCTGGGATGGGAATTTTCCCATAGAAAATAAAGCTTTGATGTAGCAATTTGCACTAAGACCATGGCGGATAAAGAAAGCTTTAATACCTCTCTCCCTGATTACCATATGAAATATCATTTTCTTTCTCAGCAGCTGCATTTGCATTTTTTAAAGTATGCAGGTTGAAGAAAAATGCATTTCAAGATAATTTAAGGAGACAAACCCTTGCATGCACAGCCTTTGGAAACTGCAGGAAATCCTTGAGGAAAAAAAAAAGACTTGTAAATTGGGTCCGTGTTATGATCCTTTTGGTAAGTCTTTCACGCCGCACTAGTCAAGTTTCAAGGAGAACCTCCCTCCAGAGACAAGGTCTTAGTACAGATAGTCCTCAACTTACAATCAGTCACTTAGTGACCAGTCAAAGTTATGATGGACCTCCCCAGGTACTACTTATGACACAAATTCAGTCTGATGGCTTTCCCACTCCCACCTCCACCCCGTGGTCATGTGACTGCAGTTTCCAATGTTGTTGTTGTTTTTGCCAGAAAGTGATTATTTACTTCTGGTTTCAGGCACCAAATGCTCATTGCGGACAATGGATTTGCTTAATGACTGCTGCAAAAAAAGGTCATAAATTTGGGTGCGGTCACATGCAGACCTTCTAAACAACCAACATAACTTACTGTCATTCTGGCATCTATTATGGTCAAAGGGTAAGGACTATCTGTAAAGGGAATGTAGTCAGTGGACTAGGCTGGTTTGGTTTGTTGGGGTTTGGGGCTAAGTGATACCTGTCCTCTTCCCAAAACTGTAATTCTACAGCATCATGAGATAATCTGAAGTGCCCATCTCAGAACATTCCCCATTTCTCTGCACAAGAAGCTGCCACGGCTGTGACACCAACAGCAACTAGACCACAATTTGTAGGGTCAAGCAAAGAGAGAAAATGGTAGGTCTTTCTTAGCGACAGAAAGGATACACACCTGTAATTCGGCAGCCATATAGCTCCAGTCGAAGGGCGATCCCACTATGCCAAACCTGGGGACGGATCCGCACAAACCGAGTCAGCACTGGAGCATGGATTTTGTTGAGAACCACTTCAGAAGCATCGGTGTTTGCCTGAAATACCTGAGAAAGAGACATTCTTAACATTTTACTTCCTCCGTTGCATAAAACTGAGCAAAACAGAAAAGAACAGATAGGAAATATAAGCAACTGGCTACGTAATAAAACAAAACAGAGGAGTAATTACTTTTCCCTTTGAATTCTTTGCCTTGGATAAGAATAATTTTCAATGCTGCACCATGTTTTAGGAAAAGGCTCTTTTACTCCTGTGCAATTGGCAGTGCTAAGCTGGATGGGTGAAACTCCCTTCAGTCCTACTATATTGCAACAGCAACATAAAAATACAATTCCAGACAAATCAATTAAATAAGAACTAGTTCTGGTTTTGAACAGACAAATCTGAAGCACATTGGCTTAATTCCCAGAAGTGCAAGATGTTCAAAACCCTCCTAAAATCTAGATCTCATTTGCCTAAAATAGAGCACGCAAACAAAAATAACTTGAACTACAGATTTTGCCCATTCATATTTGAGTTTCAATATTTACAAAGTGGGCGTAAGCAGTAATGATTATTGTCTCCAGCAAATTTTGGCAATGCCGATTCAAATCAACAAATTAATAAGTGAAGACTGTTGTTAGTGTACAATGCTTTGGTTTCTCCCATGGAATTATAATCCCTCCAAGAAAAGATGACAGTCACTTCTTTTCTATGTCCATGTGCAGACAAAAAAAAAAAACCATTTTAATAAGATTTTCACTTGATGCAACGTATGTTGCAGAATTATTCAAACAAACTCCTGTCTTACCAGATGGTCATAATCCTTAATTACCATATGGACCATTTCTTCCCTTTTTCTTCTACTTTTTATTAGCTCGGGAAAGTAGCAGCAATTTTTGCTTTATCCTTTGTTTAATACAAAGGCCCCCAAAAAATCTACAATAAATTGTTCCCATATTGTCTTTTATTACTTCAGTTTATATGCTGCTCCATTTCTAAAAAGTCCAGCAATTTACTATTAACAGCATAGTATAAAATACAGAAAATTGATGGCATAACCATAAAAGCAAGAAGGCCCTGACATGTCGCATTTGGAGAGCAAAATTCCTAAGTAGCTGTCTACCAAGCCATGTTCAGGAAGGAACAGTTTAAATCTCTAGAGGCAGGCTGTAGAGGTGAGGAGAGGGAATATCACTTAGAGCAGTGGTTCTCAACCTGTGGGTCGGGACCCCATTTGGGGTCGATCGACCATTTCACGGGGGTCGCCAAGCAAGACTGTCCACCATTTTTTTTGTCCGCCATTTTTTCCCCCTTTTCCGGCGGGTGCCATGGCCCTTGGGCTGGGCCAGCTGGTGGTCGGCCTGCTCCATCTCTGCCACTTGCCAGCTACGCCTCGGCCGGCGCAGGGGGCGGAACCACACATGCGTGGCGCTCCCGGGCAGGGAAAGTCCTCGAGTTACAACCGGTTGGGTAGTCCTCGACTTACGACCAATTTAGTCCTCGACTTACGACTGGTTTAGTCCTCGACTTATGACCGGTTTAGTCCTCGACTTACGACCGGTTTAGTCCTCGACTTACGACCAGTTGGGGTCGCGGCATTAAAAAGGTTGAGAACCACTGACTTAGAGGCATGGGGCCCTTCTAGATCTGATTTGGGACTCCTAAGCAGGTGGCTTCTAATAGATCTCGCCAGACAACAAGAGGGCTTTTATTGTTGTTGCTGCTGCTGCTGCTGGTAGTGTTTGTAATATGATCTCTGTGTTCCAAACAATCAACTTTTTACATAATGTTCTCTTATACTTTTTTTTGGGGGGGGGGGATACAGGAATCATTAAATTTGTGTGCACCTTCAGATGGGCTTAAGGAAAATGCAACCCAAACGAACACTGACTGTAAAGTAAAAGTTAAACAATTTAGAGATTAAGAATCCTGGTATTTCAGGCAAGGCATTGTTTGGAGATCCTATGACATCTCCCTCAGATTCCAGGGGAACTAGGATTAAAGAAATAATGCAGATGTTTCCTCTGTTTGAAACAATTTAGTCATCTTGGGGCCAAAACTGTTTGCCAGAACCAATGCATCACGACCGCTGTGGCCGCTGTATGAACCTGTGCTCTGCATGAAAGGCAGGGGAGAGCCGTCCTTCTAGAGACAGAGCGTGAGAAGAAAGGCGCTGACGCAAAGCCTTGGGCAAAAGGCTAACCCGGTGTGGAGCTAATGCCTCTAACCATGTACAAGGGCCTCCTTTGGTCACTCGTGAGCACGTGCCCTGGCAAGCACCTCAGCTGAGAGAGGAGTGGCAAAGGTGATGGTGGTGGCGTTCTCTCCCCACCATCAGGTCATGCACCTTGTGACAGCTGGGGGGGTGCGCGGTGGGGGGGGGAAGAAGAACTCAGTGCGACTGAGAACCCTCCCTGTTAACTTCATGCTAGAGTCAGAGCAAGCAGGCAAGGTAGTTAGCACAATTAGCACTTTCTTGCCCTCAGGGTGGCAAAATAGTGACACGGGAGCAAAGGATATATGCTTGTAAATCTGTGCTGATAATTGAGGTTTAGAGTGGAGCAGAAATGCTAAGCCAAAAGATACACCGTAGATCACACTGGCAGCATGACTGATGTGTTTTTAATATGCTATTTTATCCCAACAGACCACCCTTTCCCCTATCTTTCCCTTACTCAGCAGTCACCAGATATCCTTTTCCGCAGGAAGTCTGGAAGTATCGGTGCCTGCCGTGAGTGGCTTTCACCTCTGCCAATATCCATATGTATGTGCGTGCAGATGTATTTTGATACTGCGGTAAAGCATTCCACATTGAGTCAACCCACATAAGGTGGCATTGCCGCATGTCATCTAAGAATCCGAGGCAAGGGAGACCCATTAGCCCTATTCCTGTACCCTTATTCCTTGTTCTCTTCTAATCCGTCTTCAACATTTTTGCAACTTCAGCCTCAGCCCTATTCTTTCTACAAAGTCGTTCCTCTGAAACAGATTTTAATTCCTTGCCCTTCAGCCACCTTTTCTGCTGACTTATTCCATATGGTGACTTCTCTTTTCTCTGCTTTGCTTCCTTAGTTTTCACACGGAGTTTGATTCAAGCCTCCTTTGTGGTGTGAAAGTTAGGGGGTTGTTCTTATTTGAAGCTGTGTTGTGTGCCAATCATTTTAGCAACTTGCATTTTCTCATTTACAAGGGTGGAACAGGATCAGGAAGAATTTTGTGATGGCATCAACTTTTTTAAATCCTTTCTGTATAGCTGATAAATAATCCAAACACTATTTTTTTTTCAAAGGAAAATGTTAACAACCTTCCAGCTCATCACAACTTTAGGCTCAATTCATTCATTAGACACACTATGATTCAGCCAGGTGCCTAATACCAAACAGATGTGCAAAGCCTAAGATTCCTCCAGAAACAGCAGGATTTAGGTATGTGCAACTGGCAACAAAAATCAAACCAAATGTTCCTAGACAGATTATGCTATTTCAAAGACCATGGAAGTTACCTAGGGCTCCAGTCACTTCGGAAAAAGAGCATTTTCCTTGCTACTGTACTGAGTGTGAGATCCAAAATGAATTACTTGCTGTATTTCTTCCAAGTAAAATTATTACCTCTTAAATCGTATACACAGTATAAGTATTTTTGTTGTTTTTCCTAATGGTGCCTTTGCCATCGATTATTGCTGCTAAAGGTCCCCAAGACAATGGTACTTCCCCCCCCCCCAAGCTGAAACTACAAATTGCTTCACATATCACTGTCCTTGATGCAGTCCACTCAACTAAGGACACTTTTCAGCCGACGTTTCCCTTAAGTGTTGGAAATTACAGATTTAACCTGCCTGGCACCTGCTCTCCATGCTCAAAAGACCTGTATCAAGTCTTATGGTTAGTAATCCAATCTGCTCACAAGGGACTGGGGTATCAGAGTTGATAGCAAAGTCTACAACTACAAGTATAATCAAACCACAAACTCCCTTTTTGGTTAAGAATAAACCTGATACACCCAGGTCCATATGCTACTTGTATTTGTGGAGCAAAACACAGAACATGAACAACTGCTGATTTTTGGCTTTTAAAAGCCTCAATATGCTTAATCAGGCAACTTCCTCCTCTTCCTCCCCCCCCCCCATGTCCCCATTCCCTTATACTGTAGTTGCGCACAATATTTGTTGGCAGTTTTTCTGGCCCTATGTGAAACTTTGGGAAAAGAGGGAGGGAGGGAGGGAGGGAGGGAGGGAGAGAGAGAGAGAGAGAGATTTCCCTGCAAATGCCTGTGATGGTAAAATGTCTATAGCCCAATATAATTTTCCAGGGGTCTTTCAGCTAAAGCATGGGGGTGAGGGGAATGAGAATCACAGTCACTCCAGGAGGCAGGAAGGGGCTCCTTTCAAAATAAGGATTCAAATGCCTTTAAGAGTAATGCGATGTTTCTTCCTGGAACACTGTACATAAAATGAAATGTCTACATTGGCTTTTGAAAAAACAACAATTTTGTTATCTGGTGAATTAAATCTTTTTTTCAAAAATAATCACAGATTAATGAGGAGATGGGTAGAACATAGATGAGCCCCTCCAATAAAGAGAGTGATCCTTCCTCCCCAAATGCAGCCACATGCAGGTAAAAATAACCTAGAAATGATATGAATCAATGGTACTGGGGTGTTTCCCCATCACTTCCTCTCCAGCTCACCTTTTCAAAATCGGATAAATTTGATTAATCAGATGCCACACTGATCGGCATAAATTAGTGCGCCAATCAATGTGAGAACTGAAGGCCTCCCTATAGTACTATAAACTCTTTGTTATCCAACAACCACAGGATGGCAGTCAAATTGTAATTCAGAAGCAAATTCATAGTGATCCTCCCCTAGTCCTAGCAGCCATCTTTTCTCCAAGAATGTGATTTATAAGAGCAACACAGAAGAAATGAGGCAGCTGAGCCCAGGGTGTTCTCCTTTTACACAGCACTGGGGAATCTGAAAATGAGACATGAATGGCCAGATTGTAATGTGGCAATATTGTCACCTCCAGACTTTTTCATCTTAAGTCTGGTATGAAATACGAATGAC